CTCTGTACATTCACTCCCCCCACCTACAATCCCTGCCGGTACGAGACTCGAACCCGCAAACTTTGGGTTACGAGTCCGACTCTCTAACCATTAGGCCACGACTTCCCCTGATGGAAGTCGATGGAAGATAATAATAATAACAGATAAAGGACGAAGAAAAAAAATAATAATAATAATAATAATAATAATAATAATAATAATAATAATAATAATAATAATAATAATAATAATAATAATAATAATAATAATAATAATACAGATTCCTCAGCCATATAAGTGAGTAAGCTATACAGTAGGTGGCGGTAATACTCCTAATTGTGTGTGGCCATTGAACAAGAAGAAGCAGCGCATGCGCCGTCGCTCTCTTTCCAGTGTCGACACTGAGCGCGACCGAACAGACGTTGAAGAACAAGAGGTGGAAGAGTACAGTTGAAACGCTTCGTCTTTATTATTTTAAAAAGATCAGTTAAGACAAATAAATTCGGTAAGAATATGCAAAGTACATCAATTCACAATGTATTTCATGTAGCCATACACAACACTGTCGACATTTGCAAAAATGCAATTGTTTTATAAGTTTAATGGAGGGCAGGGTGATTGTGAGCTGCAAGCACACGACATAACTTAGTTTGGTTTAAATGGGTAATGCGGAGCTAGCCAGGCATCTTTTCCTTCTCGTGCAGTGGTTATGTTGTTTTCTTATTTCTGAGAAGTGCTATACTGAATTGAAAGACTGAGAGAATAGCAGCGAGCTGTGTTTCTGCTGTAGACGGAATCAGCGCATTTGCGCTGGTAAATACAGACGGCGCCATTTTGTCATCTCGCTGGTTTTGAGGTTTGAATGGCCGATGACGCCATGCCATGGATGTTATTGTTAAACTCGTATTTAACTAGGTGATTTTTATTCAAGAAAGCAAAGAGTGCTATGTTTCAAAGCTTTTCTCGAACGGCTGGACACACCTGTCTGTTTCTATTGTTATGATTCTCTCTTTTATTTCAGTGGTTGGTTGGTCCTGCTAAAGCGAATAAGCTCTATTTGACACATAATTTGAAATGTGCCCTGAATGAAGCTCATTTTGTATTCGATGTTGTATTAAGTTTGTAGCCACTTCGGCATAAATCTGAAATATGGTGACATTGGAGCGTTTGGTTTATGTGGAAATCGTGTGAAAAGTGTTGCTGCAAGAAATCTCTTAAGATTTTTATTCAAGTGCGATTAACGGACTTAAACCTTGATCCTATTTTAATTATTTGGTTATTAATAGTTGTTACTAGGCATGGGCCGGTATGAGATTTTGACGGTATGATAACCTTAAGCAAAAATATCACGGTATTGTCGTTACAGCTCTAAAATGTATTTTTAAATGACTGGGTAAAAAAAAATTATAATATTTTCCGCTGAACACAATATATTTTGTTTTTGAGCAACATAAAGAATATTAGGAACAGTAGAATTTGTTTATTTTTTCTTTGATTTGTTTCCTAAAAAGAAGAAAAAGAAACGCGTTCTCGCGCAAGCCAATCAGCGAAGAGTTTCTTGACACGTCCAGTTGAATCAGACAATAGAAGAGAGCGTTATTGCAGCTGTCTGTTATTATATAGGTCTGGAGCATAGAAAACAATTAAAATCAGTTGTAGTAGTAGTTGTATTTTATTAGCATGGCTACAGAGATGCTGATATCGATAATAAAAAAATATAATAGTAATATCAGTGTATATATACAGTAGTAAAATGTAACACACACATTAATACAGGATCCTAACGTTATTCATCCTCCTCTGGATGGTGCTGTGAACCCAGACACGTCGGCGTTTGGCTTTCCATTGTATTTGGGACTTTTTGACAACAGGTACAAAACAGCGATTGTAGTCATCTCCACCATGGTTGATCGCGCTGTTTTTATTCGCGCGAGTGACACGAATAACATCCCGCGAGTAATCTAGAGCGAGCGACGCGATGCGCATATTCGCTTCGCGTCTGGTGTGAACACACCATAATGAATCCTTATGGATATTGAAATTGCGGCATCAACCTTTTATGTTGTATTGTATTCAGTTGTCATATCAGTGGAATTATGTTTTCAATTGCATTATTAAATTGTTACGTGACTGACCGCTCGCTCGCACCAACAGGAGGAGGAGGGTCGTGTTACTCTCTACACTGCACTCAACCCGAGGGATTCCTACACTTTCAGTCTTTGAGGAGACATGAAAAACAGCGCATACCGCAGGAACGGTATAACGGAAAATATTAGCGGTTTTGAAACCGTGAAATTTTTAAATCCTTGAAACCGGTAATCGGCCCATGCCTAGTTACTATCTGTTTTACCTGCATTCAGGTTTATGTTCACATGGTTGCTGATTATGTGACCTGATTTCCACTTTTGGGTTGTTAAGACTCTTTATTTAACTGGCAGAACGTAGGAGATCATCACATTTTAGTCTGAATACACTTTTATGTAAGAACTAACCTAGTTTTTGTGGTTTCTGGTGGTAGGTGATCAAATACTTAACTCCCATTTAAACTGTTCACCCATAAATGAAAATGGTCATTTTCTCACCAAAAGAGATTAAACTCTGTTATCTTCAAAACAAATTAAAGTATTTTTAATGAAACCTTATCTGGCCATCCTTTGAAAGTCCATGCAACCAAAACTTTAGCACATCAAAAAGTTCATCAAGAGATTGTAAAAGTAATCCATAGAAATTGAGAGGTTTAATCCACAACATCGTGTTTTAAATGATGATGAACGCAAGATCCAGTGAGGTTTATTCTCATGCATCAAGCGAGCATATTTAAGCTTCTGTTAACCATATTTGTTTGGCTCCATGTATGAGAGTTGATGATTGTTTGTGTGAATAAAAGCCTAAATTAAATCCGTTTATTATATCAAGTGAAAATGTCTCTTCAGAAGATTTGGATTAAACTATTCAATTCATGGGTTACTCTTGGTTTATCTCTTTTTGTACTTTTGTATCATGGATTGAGTCGAGTGTAAATTTCACATTCTCTGGAGAGATACTGAAGAAAGGTTTCAAAAAATTTACTGTTGTATTGTTGTTTTTAGTGTCACATTGGCTTTTTTTTGTATGTTTGCACTTGCAGGTTACCAATTTGGAGGTCAGAAATGCATGAGTTAGTTTGAGACAAGCTAGATGCTATTAGAGATGCACTCTTATTGAGTTTCTTACACTTTACTCACAACTTACCAACATTATCAGATGTTATTGTCACTCCATGGAAGGTCACTGTCTGTTTTTGTAGCTTAATATGCTTTGACATCTGTTTTTCCCCCTTTTTATATGAAAATGTTCAAAAATGTTCCTGTATTTTGATGTGTTGCTGTTAAGTATGAATGTTTGCTGGGGTTATGAAATACATGACATGCATGCGTTTTAAGTCCAATTCTTATGTGTATGGCTTTTGCGAAGTAGCTGGCCAACATCTGATGTGCACAAGTGGTGATTAAATTTTTAGTTTTGCTGAACAAGAATATGTTATACTAAATGGGCTGGAAATGGCTGGCACTGAATGGTTTTCTTGGAGTCACTCATGGGTATGCTTGTTCTAATGCTGTTTACATATATTTCCCTCCATTTATTCTTTTTATTACAGTCAAGAATTGATTTTAAATGATTGCCGTCAGGATTGGCTTGGGTATCCTGTGCATCTTGTAACGAAGCAGCACTTTTAATACAGGTAAGCATCAGAGGGATCTTGGTCAACTAAACTTAGAGATATTTGGTCAATTACTTTTTTTAGTTATCTAAAAAATAATAAGAAAAATGCATTCATTTAGAATCTAGAAATGTGGCTTAATGGTTTTTGTTGTCTTAAAATATGTCATTGCAATATGCATTCTGTGCGAATGGTTGACTATTTACAATGCAATTTACTTTCTCTCTTTTTTTTTTTTTTTTACAATGCTATCAAAGTTTTGGGGGACATTAAGAAAATTGCTGCAAAACTTTCTTTTAGGTTGTTGCCGTCTACAGTACAATGCTATAAAGCATAGGCTATTTAAGCCTATTTAGGGTTCCCACAGTTATTGAAAACCTGGAAATATAAGTAGAATTTCGAAATTGTGATTTCTAAGTCTGGAAAAGTTTAAATTAAAATCTTAAAGTCATGCAATGCAAGTTTTTCTGGCTCTGCTCTGGGGCCTGATGTATAAACGTTGCGTACGCACAAAATGGGCATGGAAATGTGCATACGCAATTTTCCACGCACATATCGGGATTTATAAAAAATAAACTAGGCATAAATATGTGCGCACCGTACGGACACTCTAGTCTAGACCATGCGTACGCACTTTTCTACTGGAGTGAGCGAAATAAGGAAGCAAACAGAATGATTTTAAAGTCTGTTTTACATTTGACATACACATTTAGATTAAATATGACACTCTGAATAATGAAGTTAAGCACTGAAATTTCATGAAATTATTATCCAGAAATTACAACATTTGTATATGAATTTAAACAGAAATATTTGCAGTGGATGTGCTGCTTTCGAACAATTTTTCTGTGGTATGCGATTTAATGTTTTAATCACAGTGAGAATTGCTTGGCGTATGACAATTCCGCTTTAAATTGTGTTCTAAGTAGCAAAACTCGTGTTCTGAGAAAATACTTTTGCACGAATAATGATCATTGATGTGAACTTGATTCGTCTGATGGCTTTGGAACATAGACGGTAACGACAGACATAAGGATGCGCTCGCTGATCAAACAGTCCATTCATTGGTCTGATGACAGTATAGGCTATAAACATTCTAAAATGTTTACCTTTTAGGCAAATTGCATAAATTAGAATAGTGATGTCTCAAAATGCATTTATAGTCCGTATCTCATATTTTCCTAACGTGTTGTAGGCTACCCTTAACTGCATTAAACATGGTGTCACGTGGATGGAAATATGCATGGAAATGATATGTAGATGGCGTTATGCATATTAAAACTAAGCGTTGTAAGATCCATAAATGGCTATTTCAGGGAGGAGACGGGGTGGAGATTTGCGTATGCGCAATCTTCCGCTGACTGGGTATTACAAAGGGAATTTTGCTCAGGTTCTGGCGTACGCATGGTTTTATAAATCTGAAAAATTGTGCGTACGCCAAATCTAGCTTTTGTGCATACGTACACTTTTAGGATGAAATCTACGGAAAGTTTTATACATGAGGCCCCAGGTCCTAAATAATTTGTCAGCTAAGCTGTACATTGCTTTTGGTGAGTGCAGTCTCCATTTTAATTTTTTTCAAAAAATTTTAAGGATTTAAAAAATGCATATCTATTAAGCACAGGTGACTATAAAAGCCATGGAAATTCATGGTTCAAAATAGGGTTGTAACAATATACCGGTATGAGGGTTTATCACAATGTGGACGCAAAGTGGCTGCAAAAGCAGGCAATACATCCAACATGTTCGCTCATATTCGTGGACACCATTCCAGCGTGCAGATAAAGGTGTGTCGAGCCATTTTAGGTAGGTGTGGCTAACTCTTAACTTTTATAAAGAATACCTCTTTGGATTTGAGACTTTAGTCTTTGCAACTTTACAGATCTTCTTTATGCACCAAGAGCTTGTAACACTCCAAAGAGAAAGGAAAAAATGAAATCGCATCATATGACCCCTTTAAGGTCGTATGATTTCCGTGATGCAGGGGGAATCCCGGTGCAGTCGTGAACATGGAATTTACAGTATAGGCTAATGAGGATGTCACGTAAAACACGCTAATGGATCCACATCTGATGGATGGATAAATCAAAAGTAGATATGATAACGTTGTGTCTGAATATTAAAGCGCAAAGAGATTGCTATATGAATAATCTGCTTGTTTCTGCATGTCTCTTGAGTGGCGCCGTTTTATCTACTACACACTGAAGAACGCATACATAAATGGTGTTTTCAGCGTCTATACATAAATATGAACATCACCAGAGCTGCTCTGAGAGAAAAATTCAATAAACATTTCCTTTTAACATTTGAGAAAAAACTTTGTCAAATACACAGGTCCGCTACAACCCGTCAAAATAAAAGTTTGATTTAACTTGAAATTATGACAGAAATATATTAGCATTGTACAGTGTTCTTCAAAGTTATAACAACAATAATAATATTCTTTATAATAAAATCATTTATTTAAACATTAAGGAATATCATGTTTGTCCATGTTTTAACTTAGTATACACCTCTGTTGTGCAGCACTTTGCCAAAAATAAAAGTTGTAAATTTTCATTTGATAACATTTTAAAACAATTAAAATGTTAAAGTGTGGTATAGATATACAGTCATTTATTATATATACAGCTTTATTTTTTAATTGTTTTTTTAATGAAATTTATTTTTTCAGAAGGGAGATTTCAATACTTTCATTAAAATGGTTTCAAGTTTGTTTACTCCAAAACAACAATAATAATATTCTTTATAATAAAATAATTTATTTAAACATTAAGGAATATCATGTTTGTCCATGTTTTAACTTAGTATACACCTCTGTTGTGCAGCACTTTGCCAAAAATAAAAGTTGTAAATTTTCATTTGATAACATTTTAAAACAATTAAAATGTTAAAGTGTGGTATAGATATACATAAGGTGTACAGCTTTATTTTTTAATTGTTTTTTTAATGAAATTTATTTTTTCAGAAGGGAGATTTCAATACTTTCATTAAAATGGTTTCAAGTTTGTTTACTCCAATAACTTGTTCTTGTTTTTTAAGAGTCATTGTTACTGATAAGAATTATTGTTTAATATATACCGTGAAACCGTGATATTTTCTGAGACGATTATCATACCGTGAAAATCTAATACCGTTACAACCCTAGTTCAAAAGGTTTGGGAAACCTATGTTCAGTTAATCATTAAGCCAGAGACACTGTAGAATAGGCTACACCAGTGGTTTTCAATCCTGGTCCTGGGGACCCACAGCACTGCATATTTTGCATGTATGTATATTTTATTGAAAATACCAGATTATCAGCTCATTAGGAGAGATCGTCATGAACTGAACTGAATATGTCGGATAATATAAAAAGGTGCAGGACAATTCAGTCTCCAGGACAAGAATTGAACCAATGGGCTACACCATATTTGCTTAATTAAAAAAAACAAACGGTATTATTAGTGGTCTCGACCTTCTGTTACATTTGAAGATTGTAAGTTGAGTTGTCAGTTAAACTCAGGAAATTGGCATGTTTAACAGTGTTTTATGTAGTATGTAGTGTTTCAAGATTAAGTGTTTAAAAATGCTTTTAAATACAACTTTGAAAATTGCCGTTGCTTTATCATTTTTGTTCAGCTCAGTTCATTAGTCATATTTTGTTCTGATTTGATTTCATACTAAACTGCTGTTGCATGTTATAAAATAAAATGAAGTACGATATTGTGCTTTGGCTACAACTTAAAAAAACCTCTAAACAATGTGATAAGCTAAGAATTTGTGATTCTTACTGGATTTGCAGTGTTAAAATTCAAGCGCTTTTTATTTTGCTATAATGTGTTTTCTTTCATAATCTTTGGTCTTGCTGTTAATTGTCTTCTTGTAGTTTTATACTGGTTTTCTGTTATCTTTTTGCCTTTTACCATAGCCTGACAGTCGTTGCCTTCTTTCATCTACAGGTGTTTGTTGTTGCACCTCAGCATGGCTGTGGTCATCCGTTTGCAAGGTCTCCCCATTGTGGCTGGGACTATGGACATACGCCATTTCTTCTCTGGATTGACCATACCAGATGGTGGTGTGCATATTGTAGGGGGTGAACACGGTGAGGCTTTTATCGTGTTCGCCACAGATGAAGATGCAAGGCTTGGAATGATGCGCACAGGGGGGTCGATCAAAGGTTCCAAGGTTTCTCTGTTGCTGAGTAGCAAAACCGAAATGCAAAATATGATCGAGCTCAGCCGTAGGCGCTTTGAAACTGGCAGTGCAGAGGTTGCCACGGGAAATGGCAGTAGGCCAGGTCCACCGGTTAGTACTGGTGGAAGTGGAAGAGGCAACTTGCCAACCACAGCACAAGGTTTTAGTAACACAACTTCAACTACAGCCACCACAGCAGCGTCAACACATGAGCCTGTAAGCAACAAGACTGTCCCTACCTTTTCGACCACTACAATGGGCAACATGCCCCCAAACTTTAATAATTTCAGCAGCCCAAGTCTTAGTTTGGGATCCACAATGACCACGGCAATGTCGTCGTTGAACTCTGTACCTCCCCCAATACCTCCCTTGCCCACCATGCCATCTCTACCACCCATGCCCCCCATGCCAGTATCCACATTGCCACCAGTATCCACATTGCCTCCAATACCAGCTGTTAATCTGCTAACATCAGTGTCTCCGGTCCCACCTATTGCACACATGCCGCACCTGCCGGGGCTTCCACCATTTAACCCCGGTGTCCCTCCCCCTGTTGGCCCTGTCACTGGTGGTTTAGCCTCTGGTCCACTGTCTCTCGGAAATCCCAATCAAATGTTCCTGAATCCCTTAAACCATCTAAACCCCCTGAATCTCCAGTCTCACATGAAATCATCAGTGGCAAACCCAGATGAGTTTTACATTCATCTACACGGCCTTCCTTTTTCAGTCACTGAAAGTGAAGTTAGAGATTTTTTCCAGGGACTTGGGCTTGAGTCTGTTCGTTTGCTCAAAGACAACCTGGGTAGAAACAACGGCAGGGCATTGGTTAAGTTCTTCTCACCCCAAGATTCTTTTGAGGCTCTGAAAAGAAACGCAGGAATGATAGGCCAAAGATATGTTGAGGTTTCTCCAGCTACAGAGCGGCAGTGGAGAGAGAGCGCAGGACACTTTAAAGTATGTAGTGACGCCGAACACAGCCGTCATCATCGCAGAAACACCAATTCGCCACCACCCTCTGGCCGTGAGCGAGCCAGGTCTCGATCACCCCACAAACTAGAATTCTGTGTATATCTGAAAGGACTCCCATATGAAGCAGAAAACAAGCAGATTTTTGAGTTTTTCAAAAATCTTGACATTGTTGAAGATAGCATTTACATTGCATATGGACCCAATGGCAGGGCAACTGGTGAGGGATTTGTGGAGTTTAGGAATGAAACGCACTACAAAGCTGCTCTCGGATGCCATATGCAGTACATGGGTAGTCGGTTCATACAGGTGCATCCAATCACAAAGAAAAATATGTATGAAAAGATAGATGCCATTCGCAAACGAATGCAGGGTTCCCAAGGCAATCAGAAGAATAGCTCGGGTGAAGGAGGAAAGAGTGCCAAGAATTGTGCTCACATAACCAATATTCCCTATAACGTGACAAAAAAGGATGTCCGTCTGTTTCTTGATGGCATTCAGTTGTTTGAGGAAAGCCTTAAGGTGTTAGTTGACGCAAATGGTAATGGTCTTGGCCAGGCTATTGTGCAGTTTAAGTCTGATGAGGACGCACTTAAAGCAGAGAGACTACATAGGCAGAAATTGAATGGCAGGGATGCTTTCGTTCATTTGGTTACATTCGAGCAGATGAAAGAAGTTGAGAGAAATCCTCCTCCCCAGGCAAAAAGAGGCCAGAAATCCCAAGGAAATTCCCATGCTCATGCTCATACCCATGTACACACTCAGCCCCAGGTCCAAGTTCCCCAAGCACCTCATGCTTTTCCAGGAATGACAGGCAATGAGTTCAGTTTTCTGAGAAATGCTGTAGGGACCCTTGGCAACGGTCCCCCTTTTGTCAACCCATTCATTGCCCCAGGTAATGGACTGGCAGGTCCACCACCTTTACCGCCACTTGGCGCTGCTTTGGGTGACGTCTCTCTTAGCGTTCACCCGCCAATGGTTGGGGGACCTCTGTCCGGTCCTGTTTTAGAGCACCCTGGTTTCAGACCTGACGGCATCAGTGCACCTTCCAGCTTTGCTGGTGTGTTAGAGCCCTTAAGGGGCATGCCACCGTTTGATAATGGATCTTCTCATAAAGCAATTAGCCAAAATCGTGGAGGTAGCCAAGTTCAGCGGCCAGCTTCTGAGAGTTTAAGAGGACCATCCAGCAGTGGTCCAGGTAATACGCGGCCCACCATTGTCAAAATTCAAAACATGCCCTTTACTGTGACTGTTGACGAGATCATTGATTTCTTCTATGGCTATCAAGTGTTGCCTGGTTCTGTATGCTTGCAATTCAATGAGAAAGGTTTGCCCACTGGGGAAGCGATGGTTGCTTTTGACTCCCATGATGAAGCAATGGCTGCTGTTATGGACCTGAATGATAGGCCCATTGGGGCAAGAAAAGTTAAGATCACTTTGGGATGAAAGCAACATCTTTGTCATTGCAAGTGTCTTAACTTTTGACACGGTTTTCTGAAAAAAACAAAAACAAAAAAAACCCTTATGTGGCTGTTTTTATGTACAGAAGAAACTGACAAGTATTAGATTTTTTTTTTCTGTACACATTATTTATCCAAGATTGTAGTTTAATGAAGCATGACATAATTGAGGAAAGACTGTTTATTTTAAATTCCTCTAAACAGCATTGTTTAAGACTTCAGGCCAATAATGTGTTAGTTCACATCTGCAGATCTGAAAAAGGGCCATCTTTATAGTGGTATGTTCAATAGAGCCTAATATCTGCGATGGAGGTTAGTTGGCAAGTACGTTTCACTCCCAGAATTCCTCATTGTTTTGTATCTCTGCTCAAGTTTTAAACAGCTGTATTTGATCCATGCTGCATCTACACATTTTCTTCTGAGGTAAAAACCGTGCTGCTCTGCATTGTGTGTTAAATTCATGCCTACACTTCAGTTGCAATGTTTGCTCTCTGCCGCAAGTTTTTCTATGTCAATAAAATGCAAATGTCTATGTCTTTATCATTATCTGTTGCCGTCACATTGAATTGCTTTAAAAAGCCTGATGTCAGACCAATTCTGTAAATGCTAAGCGGGGATGTGAAGCAAATGCAGCATTGTAATTTGTATATGAAAGCATTTTACTCTCTTTGCTTAGTTTCTCTTCTCTTGTTGCTGTGGTGTTTGATGATAGCTTCCTTTTTTTTTTTTTGTGGATATTTGGCTTTTTTTAAGTGTTGCTGAAATGGATCAATTGTTATGTTTATTAGTTTTTGACGTTCCAGCGCTTTTTCTCTTGTAAATACTTTCCAGCTGAACTATTGTCAATAAAATGCCATTCCTGAAATGATGACACTTAAAGGTATTCTGTTTTCTCCTGTCCTCCTGTTTTTTTGGGGGGGGGTTTTCTCCAGTTCAGATATTAACAATAAAATGTTTTGCAGTGGCTTCCTTGTTTCCCATATTAAACTAATTATATTTTAAATATTTTTTCATCAGATGTTATTGTAGAGATGGGACTCTAGCTCTAATCTATTGCTTGTTGCTTTTGACTGCCTTTTGACTGTTGTAGCCTTGACCTTTTCCCACAATGCATCATTTAAAATTAATTTTTTTATACCTGAGGTAAGAAGGCACTCTTTAAATTTCATATTTTCTGCTATCACAGACAAGCATCTCCGGTAAAAGCATCATACTGTTAAATGGGTTCTTGGTTTTTAGAGTGGAAACAATTTTGTTCAGTTGAGTCAGGACGTTAAATTATCTAGTAATTATTTTAGTTAATATTCTGTTGAACTGCATGGTGTAGATTTAGGCTTATGCCTAAAGTATAGTGTATGGATCACAAACTCGTGAAATTCTGCCCCAGTTGTGCCACAGATGGCTTTTTAAGAATGCAGAGTCTCCATATGTAAAAAAAATAAAGAGGAACACATTGTTTTTGAACTTTGCTTTGATATTATATAAGGGGATAAACAATTCTCATACAAACTGCACTAATGAGAGGCACATGAAATGTTTCATTGTTTTGGCTGTGGATTATTATGGCAAATGTCATGCTGCATAAAAGCTTTTCTAAAGATTTTTCAAGTAGCTCATGGTTGTCATTTCTTTCTTCAAACCTGGTTTTCAAAGAGTTCTACACATTCTCTGTGCATTTCTATCAAAGAAGGTCAAGTGCAATTGCCCTCAAACGCTGTTTGATGCTTTGAATCCGCTTGAGATTGGCCTGTTTAGAAGCACAAAATTTCAGGATTATTTATGCAAGTTGTTTTTATTTGTGTTGATCTTTTGCACTTTTGTTGTGGAATGCTTTAGAATTAAATTCATGATGAGTTGACTGTATTTCTGCCCATTTGCATTCTCAAGCTGTTCTCCAGTTTTGTGGACTGCATATTTTACTTTGTGCCTTTTTGACACTGAGCCTTGGTTCCTGATTAACATGTTAATGTTCAGGTAAGTGCTAATCATAGATATTAGTACTGCTATAAACTTTCTGTGAGCATTGGATTGTCTACAAGATTTAGTAGTGTTTGCTTTTCAACATTTCAAAGGAAGAATGCATTGTGGAAAAAAATTATTGAAATGTTTTGCTGTAGTTGAATAGTCATCCTTGTTCTGAGAAATAAAATGCTGCTATGCATTGCCACATTCATTTCGGAAAGATTTGAGTTGATACTGCAACAAATAAATGTTTTTCAAGAAACTTGATTTTGTTGATGTATGCCATTGAAATACTGTTTCTACAAGTTGTGTAACAGTTATAACATTGCTTTGTTATGGTGATTGAATTGGTGAGACTGATGTTAAGGAGTAAAGCTTTTTATAGATATTAAAACTTCTCTACAGTTTGTTTTGATTGCACTGCAAGAAGGAACAGATGCCTCTAATTTGTCACTCTGAAAGAATATCCATCAAATAAGGTGCAACAGAGTAATGTACTGTTTGTTCACTTTTTGCATATGAATTGTCCCAGTTGTGGAATCTGTGTTACTATGGAGACATAGCGGACAAGGAAAGTACGCTCCGCCTCTGTTTTTTAACCCAGTTGCTACGAAAGGTTGCGCTTAAACCAGTCGAGACTAGTTACTGTGATGTGGCACTACAGATTAAACTGACACGCTGGTAGAATATAACAAATATAAAGCTGCTGAATGATAACTGCATTGTTGGGTGTTCGTGAAAGTATTATGAGCTCATGCAGCAAGCTATTAATTACTCAGCCGTTTTAAACGCTGAAACGCTATTATTTATAGATTAACTTGGTAGTAGTGTTTAGACGTGTGTTTTAAAAAATATAAAGTATGGCGAGTATAAGTTTATGGGGTTGGTTAAAATTAGAATTGTTTCGTCGTCTGTGTAATGAGTCAGTCCACGTTGGTTTCATGCACAGTGCTCTGTGCTGCGGGCTGGTGCGGTGATTGACAGGCATCTGGCCAATCGCAGCGTTGTTTAGCTGGCGTTCTGACCAATAGCGTTGCACGTCTGGAGAGGAACTGAATGGCTCCGCCCTGCTCATTTTATATTACATGAACGTGTTAGGGTGGAGACGGTAGTAGTAGACAGTTTTGGCATAGAGAATCTTCGAGCACAGTTTCTACAGTTTGAAAATTGTTAAGGGTATGATATTTTTGATTTCAAAGTCGCATTTGTCAGTTCATTTTATATTAACTGGTTGCCTGTTTTAGATTCGTCGTGCGCCGTTAATTAATGCACAAATGGTTTTTAACAGCGTTATAATACATTTAAGGCGTGACTGTCGGAAAGCCTCAAATACTGACATGAAGGCCCTCAGATACGAGATTTACCTCATATTTCTTTGTTTTAACACGCATAGTTTTGTGAAATGGAGCATGTATTATTCGAATGTTATATATACTTTTGTTTTGCTGTACTACAGACAAGTTCAGCAGAATGCGTCCTTCTGAACAATTCTTTCCCTTTTTTATCAAATATTTCACTTCCTCACGTTTTTACGCTTCAGTGATTCATAGAAGCTGTTTAGCTTCGAGACAAAAACTTTATACGATCTTGTATCTGTCTTTCAGATGGCAGCTCATTGTGTGTCGAAGGTCGAGCTTTCCATCTCTTGCAATAATCTCTTGGATAAAGATGTTGGATCCAAATCTGATCCACTCTGTGTTCTGCTGCAAAGCATCGGGGATGACAAATGGACAGAGGTATGCATTTTAACCCTTAAAAAGCCGGTGTAGCAAAATTGCATTTAAATATATTATATATATATATATATATATATATATATATTAAATTATTATATATTTTTTTTACTAAGGATGTCACAGCTTGCTAAGTCACTGCTTATTGACACCATTACTAACAGTAATTTCTGTGATTTATTATTGAAATTATACAATAATCATTGATGATTAAAGGATTACTAAATGATTTGGAATCTAATCCATATATACAGTATATATATATATATATATCCTTATTGCTTAATGTATGTAATCATTGCAGGTAGAACGCACAGAAAGAGTGAAGAATTGCCAGGACCCTGAGTTCTCCACAAAACTTCACATTGACTACCACTTTGAGAAGGTGCAGAAATTAAAGTTTGGCATCTATGATATTGACAACAAGTCTGTTAACCTCAGTGATGATGACTTCCTGGGAGGCTTTGAATGCACCCTTGGCCAGGTATGTATTGTGAGGAGTGTTACAACAATGCACATAACCTTATGTGATCTCTGTTCTACGATAGTTGCCTCAGTGCAGTGCTTCAAAGTTAGTGTCTTCATTAAAATGTGTAGCACATGCTTAATGGTGTTTTAGAGTTAACAATTCACTCTAATTCATGGCTTTGTTTATGCACCAAACTTTACAACAGATTGTGTCAAGTAGGAAGATTTCCAGACCCCTTCAGCTCAAGGCAGGAAAACCAGCTGGGAAAGGCACAATAACAGTACGTGTTCATAAACACTCTTACTGATATTTCTAATATGGGGACATTGATAAAAGAACATCGGAATTGTCACATGAGAGTTTTACCACCTTCCTGATGAATGTTTTACAGGCCTCATAATTCTATTCATTTGCATTTGCAGTATCTTTATTTGTAGGAAAATTTAAGGGCTTTACAAAAGAATGATTAATTTACATATGGAACAGTTTTTAGTAAACCATAATAAGCCTTCTGTTTGAGCAAAATAACATTTTGCATTTTTGAATTTATGCAAAATTTGTCATTACTGTATACTATTCATTAGCTATTCTTTTTGAAGTGGTTATAGTGCATCTCTTTCCATGCTTTTACAACAGTTCTGCCAATCAAAAGTTGTTGTTTTTTTACATTTAGCAATGTTTTCTTTTTTTGGTATGAACAGATCACAGCTGATGAGGTGAAGGACAACAGGGCTATTGTGATGGAAGTGGAGGCCAAAAACCTGGATAAAAAGGTAGACATGCATCTTGTTGTTATCCATTATAATTGGTACTTTATGAATTAATTTTTCATTGTGTATTCATTATTCATTATTATCTGTTATGTGTTCTATGGAAGATGCACTGTTATTATTATCACTTCTTCTTTCAGGATATGTTTGGGAAGTCGGATCCATTCTTGGAGTTTTTCAAGCAAGAAGAAGATGGGAAATGGCAGCTAGTTCACAGGACAGAGGTTTTTACCCAGTTTCATTCACTCAGAGAACCAAATGTTTTTGTTTGTTTGTTTTTTGTCAGTGCAAAACATTTAATCGATTGTTGCATTTATTTTTTTGCTGATGGTTGTTTTTGACATTTCTCTTTTATTAATAGGTCATCAAGAATAATTTGAATCCATCTTGGAAAAAGTTTACTGTCTATTTGCATACATTCTGCAGTGGTGACCTGAATAAACCAATCAAGGTATCAAAGGGATTTTATGCTCGCTCACAGATGTGCATTTGTCATAGTATCTTAATTTAACAATTTTACTATGCAAGAGAAAACAGAAGAAGACCGTGTCCAGCGCATTTATCTTTAGGATAACAGGAAGAAATTGGTGCTTTTGGCTCTTAAACATAATTAAGAATGAAAAAAATTTACTCATCAAAACTTATCAAACATGAACACTTGTCTTTTCACAAAAGAGAACCTTACATTTTTGCCACATATACCATTCAGAAGTTTGGGGTTGGTGATATTTGTTTGATTTTGAAAGAAGCCTCTTATGCTCAACAATTCTGCATTCATTTGATCAAACATATAGTGAAAACGGTAATATTGTGAATTATTACAACTTAAAATAACTGCTTTATGTTTTAAAATAAGGAAATCGTGATACATTCTTTTTAGGATTTATTTCAAATACAAATAGTTTTGAAGCAAAGTAAAAGTCTTTACTGTTACTTTTGATCAATTTAATGCACCCTTTGTAAATACAGGTATTAATTTCTTTGAAAAAATAAATTTCGTAATAACCTCAAACTTTTTAACAGTATTGTGCAAAATTTAAGTGACAACTTATGGAGGAAGCTGTTAGATCAGATGGAAGGACACATAGTATCATAAAAATATAATTGTCGTCTTGTTTTAAGGGGCTAAAGACACCATCAGCCAGCACTTTCAGTTGTCCTAGTCCTTAGACTAAATCTTTGTCTAATTGCTAGGTAACTTGTTACGATAAGGATGAAGACACAAGCTCAGACATGATAGGAGAGTTCACCTGCACCACCGCTAAACTAATGGAGGCTAAAGACAATGCGGTGAGCAGGATGCATGTCTGTTAATCTTCCCTAAACATCTTTCTTTCTCTTTCTGTCTGTCTGTCTGTCTGCGGTTTTTTGTTTTAGGTTCATTGTTCTGATTATGATAGCGATGGCTCTCATGATCTCATTGGTGTGTTTCAAACTAATGTGTCAGATCTGCAGAAAGCAGTTCATGGCTCCCCGGTGAGACTGCACCTTCACTGCTCCAGGCTTTTTTGTTGTCCTTGTGTTAACAGTAGAACATTTCCTTTTCTACATATAAATTTCATTCTATTCACTTCCATAATTTCTATGAGTTTTATTGTAGGGCATATAAAACGTTTTCAATTTTGTAGGTTGAGTTTGACTGCATTCATCCAGAGAAGCAAAAGAAGAAAAAGAGTTATAAGAACTCTGGGGTCATCAGGATTAAGGATTGCAAGGTTCGAACAACCTTCATCTGTTTCGTATGAAAACATTCTAAGCAGTATTGCAGTATATCTTATAGTTGCAGAATTTTAGAATCATTTTGCGATAATGATAATAAATAATCTCCACACTGTCTTTCAGCTTGAGGCACAGTATTCATTTCTGGATTATGTGATGGGAGGTTGCCAAATTAACTTCACGGTAAGATCGGTCATGGCACAATATTTGCTTCTGATAGCAGGTGTTTTTGTTTACATGCTGATGTAATGAATGGGTATAATGCATAACATTAAATTTAGGTTGTAAATTTGAGGCTGTATGGTTTAAACTCTAAAACAAAGGTGAATATTGTTTGGCTTTAGGTGGGCATTGACTTCACTGGCTCTAATGGAGACCCCCGCTCCCCTGACTCTCTGCACTATCTCAGCCCTAATGGCGTGAACCAGTATCTGTCAGCCATCTGGTCCGTTGGTCAGGTAGTCCAAGACTACGACACGTAAGAGAGCGATTTTTGTCCATAGACTTTCCACCAGCTGTCTAAAACCATTCAGTGTTGCTACAAACTACCATATGTTCACTCACTGAGCAGTGCATTGAAATAATTGTTATAGGGAAAGTGTAGAAATATTAAAATTGTTTGAAAATCAATAAGATTTTTTTTTTTTTGAAGAGGAAATGTATACTTTTCAACCCTCTACGCACACCTTGGCAATATAATCGCCATTGGCTAGTAAATTTTTTTGTTTACTCGCCAGACTGATATACTATTTTACACACACACACACGTTTACTTAAAAGGTGAATAATTCTAAATGAACTGTTATTTTGACAGGAAAATACAACAAAGAATATGCTTTATGCAGATTTAGTCGCATATGCGAGTGATTTACTCGCAATGTAGAGGGTTGACTTTTATTCAGCGGGAATGCATTAAATTGATTATAAGTGATAGTAAAGACATTTATAATGTTACAAATGATTTCTATTTCAAGTAAATGCGGTTCTTTTCAACTTTCTGTTCATCAAAGAATCCTGAAAAAAAAATGTAGCACAGTTGATAAGAATAAATGTTTCTTGAGCTGGAGTAATGGATGCTGAAAATCACAGGAATTATATATTAAAATATATTAAAATAGAAAAAAGTTATTTTAAACTATAATAATATTTCATAATGCTATTGTTTTTACTGTGTTTTTATTAAAATAAGTCCAAAAAGTAAAGTAATCCTTGGTGAGTATAGAGACGTTTTTGTACATGAAAGTCCTTTTATCTGCAATCAATTTTTTCTGTCTCCCTTGTAGTGATAAACTTTTCCCAGCATTTGGATTTGGTGCTCAAGTGCCTCCAGACTTCAAGGTTAGACATTACAGGTGTCCTTGATACTTATTCATTATTAGTTGTAATAATAACTTAATTCAACGAAAGTGCCTCTTTGCAATTTCTTAGGTATCCCATGAGTTCCCATTGAACTTCAACCCCAGTAGCCCATATTGCCAAGGTAAGAGTCCTAGTGTTTGAAAATTTGGAATTGAAATTGAACAGTTACGCACCTGTCTGACTTTAAACACATTCTAGGATGTTTGTCACATGGCTGATGTTTTACACTATGCAGGGGTGCAAGGCATTGTGGATGCCTACCGCGTGGTTTTGCCTCAAATTCGTCTTTATGGACCCACCAACTTCTCCCCCATAATAAATCATGTGGCCCGAATTGCAGCCGGAGCCGCCCAGCAACCAAATGCAGCAGTACGTAACTCCAACAAGTGCCTTTTTTGGTAGTGCACTGCCTCATTCACAAGATGTGGTTTGATGGGTACTCGTGCGTATTTCATCTGTGGTGTGCCATGGCATTTTCAGTCCATCAGCACCATGTATGTCGTTCTCTTTCTCAATTAGCAATACTTTGTGCTGTTGATCATCACTGATGGAGAGATCACTGATCTCGACCAGACCAGACAGTCCATCGTGAACAGCTCCAAACTGCCCATGTCCATCATCATCGTGGGTGTGGGTGAGGCAGACTTTAAGGCCATGGAGTTTCTGGATGGGGACAATGGAGTTCTTAAATCTTTGACCGGAGAACCAGTGGCCAGAGATATTGTGCAGTTTGTGCCCCTCAAGCAGTTTGCCAATGTATGAGCCTCTTAAAATATTAATTGGAATGACATGCTGGTTCAAAATTCTTCAATTCATATCCAGTGTTTTCTGTAATTCACTGTCTGTAATTATGCCATTTCTCATTTTACATCTCATTTCTTTTTAGGCTCCTAAAGAAGCGCTGGCTCAGAGTGTTCTAGCTGAGGTGCCGAATCAGCTGGTGTCATACTTTAAAATAAGAAATGTGGCTCCTGTCAACCCCCCTTCACCGATCAAGTAGACACAAGTGTGCGCTGGAGACTGAATTGTATGTCTAAAAGAAATAGGAGTTAGTTAGAATTAGTATGGATCACCACTAGAGGGAGCCAGAGCTCTGTTAAAGGAAGCACTGTGGGAGTGTTTAACTCGTATGAAGACCACTTGTCTTCACTTGTATTTTCCTTTTTTATACATTATGCAAACAGTTGTCATTTTCAGTCCTTCATATTTTTCTTTTATCTTCCAAGATTGTTCTTCCTCAATCTTTTCCAACTGGAAAAGAGTTTATATAAATGTTCCTTTTTTATAGATCTGCATATATTTTTGTATTATTGTTTATGGATGCAGATGCCTTGATTTTCTTAAGCCAATATTTGAAATCACTTTAGGCCTTGCGCTGCTTTTTAATGCAGATGTATGCAATATCAATCAGGAATGCGGATTTATGAAATTCCCTGCACTTACCGCTCTATAGTAGTTATTAGAGAAAAGTGAATGACTCCAACTCATTCGAGCACTATGCTGCAGTATATAATCATGCTGAAATGATAGAGATGAGTAGTAGCTAGAACCTTACCAAAGAAATCACTGCATGTTTTTCACTAACAAACTAAAGCTGTCAAAAGCTAGATTGTTTTTGAGAATTATTTTGCCAATATGTTGTCATTGTTTTGACCAAGATATATTAAGGATCATTTAAAATGCATATAGACTATATAGTATGAATTTGAGTAGAATGGAATTTTAAAATACTGGTTTACTGGTATAAAGACATTACATAGACGTTGGGACCATAAAACTGCCTTATCAGTTATGCCTTTTTTTAATGTTATTTTGAGGATTTTGTGCGTTTGTGGCAAATAACGTTTGAAAGATTGATTTAGAATGACAGAAGTCGTGCTGTTGATTTATCTAACACAAATATTTGCAGCTTAATCGTACAGTAAAGTTAATCTGCATTTCTCCACTAGATCTATTGGATTTAGTCACGTATACTTGCGCTTGCCACACGGGACGTTCACATGTCGGGTCTTTTGCGCGCTGAAGTTCGTTTTTTTTTTATTATTGTAGACGCGCGGCAAGCGCGCCCATAATAGAAGCGACGCAGTCGCGACTCGCCCGTTTTTCCCAGGCGCAAGCTCCGGGCGCTTCGGAAAGAAGGAGAAAGCGGCGTGGCTGGCGTTTTCCACGCGTTATTAGACGCGACATGTGAACTTCCCCTTATGGGACCGTTATCTGGTTTGAAGAATCTTTTTAAACTAATGATTTAAAGGAAATGGGATTGTAAACATTATGGATGTTTTTCCCCATCATTGTATTTCCTAATCATGAAATAAGATGTTTACACAGCAACATGTTGTTCAGTTCTTCAGAAGCCATTGTCACTGTTAGACCGATTTATATAACTGTCAAGAAGAAATGCTGAATAAAATTGCCTTATTAACACATAACACACTTGGTGCTGGTTTTTTTTTGTTTTTTTTTTGAATGTGTAGTTTGTCATGTCTTCAACAAAAAGGCATGGTATTGTTTCAATTTATCCTATTCCCACTTCCTTTTTATTATTAGGAGTTCATAGAATTGAAATGCAGATCTGAGCACAGCTGTTCACCTGTACACTCATATTACGCCCTTGCTTCACTAACAGTTCAACTGTGAACTATTAAATTATCATAGGTAAATATTACAACAACTCTTCTGCCTGGGGAGTTTTCCTTCAGATGGAGTAACAGCACAGTTCCTCAAGATCGTATGCTCTGACAATGACTTTGAAGGCCACATGAATACTGGATCATTTGAAAGCGGCTTAATTGCGGCTATATTTGTCTACCACTTATCGCAAGTCAGATTCGAGTGCCATGTTGGTACCTTAAGAACAACGAAGACCAACTTCACTCAAAGCTAGCACAGCGGATCAAGATTACAAGACACAGAAACACAGCCGCGCTTGGCCATGTCTATCACTGTCCTTTTAAAGAAGATATATAACCTGCCAGGGAAATATGACCGCAAAGTGGACTTGTCTTTTAGAGGTGAGCACAGATTTTGAAGAATAACCATTCTGTCATATGATTAATATTGCCTGTTTGGCGAATATATTCTACGTATTTAAATGTTTAGTTATTTAGCCTATATGATGTGAGAAATAATCGAGGAACTAACAAGTCATATCTTTGTTTAAACTTTTATATGCAAGACTTCTATTTGAATACGTTGACTGTATTTTTAAAACATTGTTTACTGTCCAGGTTTTACTCACAAAACCAGGATCCTTCAGTGTGAGAATATAGCCATCTTCAATGAGGTAACCGGGTTTCAAAAAAAAAAAAATTGTTATTGCTACAGCATACTAACAAAAACAGCTGTTTTAGTTACCGATCCTGTCATAAAATCAATATCATTATTGCTACACTACCATTGAAGAGTTCCTGTGCTCACCAAGGCTACATTTATTTCATAAAAATAAAGTAAAAACAGTCATATTGTGAAATATTATTACAATTTAAATTAACTGTTTACTGTTTAAATATATTTTAAAATGTAATATATTTCTGTGGTGGCAAATCTGAATTTTCATCATCATTACTCCAGTATTCAGTGTCACATGATCCTTCAGAAATCATTCTGATTTGGTGCCCAAGAAACATTTCCTGAAAACAGAAAACTGTGATACATTTTCAGGATTCTTTGATGAACAGAAAGCCCAAAAGAACATATTTATTTTAAATATCATTTTTTTTGTAAGAGTCTTTACTCTCACTTTTTGGTACATTTAATGCATCCTTTCTATATAAAAGTATTACTGACCCCAAACTTTTGAACAGTAGTGTATTTTCACAGTGCTGATTTAAGACAGAGCAGGTGCCTTTACCACCCTCACATTTTAGGAAGTCTTTATATATTCTAAATTAATTTGGCAAGGAAACCTGTTAAAACAAATGCAGCTGAAGTTGAAATCAGTGTTTTAGAGAATATGTTGGGAAATCTTCATGCTAACCACACCTTTAGTGTTTAGTCACCATGCTCTACCACAGGCACTTGAACATTCCCAGTCTTGTAAACAACCACATCTATGAGCCCAGATACACTAATTAAATACAATATTTGACTAGAGGTCTGTCACAAGGTTATCCTTTAACTTAAGCTAACAGATATAGGAATGGTGGGAAGGACCAGAAAGAAAAGTCGTTCAATCTGAGAGAAGATAAATCATGTTCAACACTGGCTTTATGAGGAGGAAGTCTTTGGGATTTTCATTTATGAGAAATGCAGTGACTGTAAAGAAAGGAGAGATTTAACACAAACACCCACCATTTTATAGATTTTGTATTACTTATTTGATTATTTACTTATTTATTTGGTTAGTTTACACACTGCTGGTCAAAAGTTTGGTATAATTAAGATATTTTTCATGTTTTTGAAAGAAGTCCCTTATGGTCACAAAAGCTGCATTTGTTTGATCAAAAATATAGTAAAAACATTAATATTACGAAATATTGTTACAATTTAAAATAACTGTTTTTTATTTATTATATTTAGAAATGTAGTTTATTCTCGTGAAGCTGAATTTTCAGCAGCCATTATACTCCAGTTTTCAGTGTCACATGATCCTTCAGAAATCCTTCTAATATGCTAATTTGGTGCTCAGGAAACATTTCTTATTATTATTAGTGTTGAAAGAAAGCAAAAACACATTAAACTGATCAAGAGTGACAAAAAATGATCATGTTATGATTTCTGATTAAAATATATGCCAAAAATGTATCATGGTTATCAAAATGTATCAAGTGTTTTTCAACGCTTACAATGTTTCTTGAGTACCAAATCCACATGCATATTGAGAATAATTAAATCACTGCTTGAAAGTTTGTGAACCCTTTAGAAGTTTCTATATTTCTGCATAAATATAACCAGATTTTCAAGTCCTGAAAGTAGACAAAGAGAACCCAATCAAACAAATGAGACAAAAATATTTTCTTGTCATTTATGATTTTATGATATTATCTGTGAGTGGCAAAAGTATGTGAATCTCTATGATTAGCAGTTAATTTGAAGGTGAAATTAGAGTCCATCTGTTCAGAGGTGTTTTCAATCAGTGGAATGACTATCAGGTGTCAGTGTGTGCCCTGTTTTATCTAAACAACAGGGATTTATCAAAGTTTGGCCATGTTAGTGGAAGTGTATCATGGCACAAACAAATGAGATCTCTGGGGACCTCAGAAAAAGAGTTGTTGTTGCTCATCAGGCAAGAAAAGGTTACAAAGCCATCTCTAAAGAGTTTGGACTCCACCAATCCACGGTCTGACAGATTGTGTAGAAATGGAGGAAATTCAAGACCACTGTTACCCTCCCCAGGAGTGCTCCACCAACAAAGATCACTCCAAAAGCAAGCCGTGTAATTGCCTGTGAGGTTGCAAATGACCCCAGGGTAACATCTAAGTAAATAAAGGCCTTTCTCACATTGACTAATGTTCATGAGTCCACTATCAGGAGAACACTGAACAAACATGGTGTCCATGGCAGAGTCGCAAGGAGAAAGCCACTGCTCTACAAAAAGAATATTGCTGCCCATCTGCAGTTTGCTAAAGATCATGTGGACAAGCCAGAGGAATACTGAAGAAATGTTTTGTGGATGGATGAGACCAAAATATAACTTTTGGGTTTAAATGAGCAGCGTTATGTTTGAAGAGTGAAAAACACTGCATTCCAGCAAAAGAACCTTATCCCATCTGTGAAACGCGGTGGTGGTAGTATCATGGTTTGGGCCTGTTTTGCTGCAACTGGGCCAGGACGGCTTGCCATCATTGATGGAACAATGAATTCTGAATTATACCAGCAAATTCTGAAGGAAAATGCCAGGACATCTGTCTCAAGAGAAAGTGGGTCATGCAGCAAGACAATTACCCCAAGCGCACAAGGTGTTCTACCAAAGGATGGTTAAAGTAGGACAAAGTTAATGTTTTGGAATGACTGAGTCAAAGTCTGGACCTTAATCCAATTAAAATGTTGTGGAAGGTCCTGAAGCAAGCAGTTCATAGGAGGAAACCCACCAACATCACAGAGTTTAAGTGGATAATTTTTCTCAAAAAAATAAGTGACAAAGAAAATATTTTTGTCTCATTTGTTTGATTGGGTTCTCTTTGACTACTTTCAGGACTTGTTTTTCAGGATTATGTTTTGGGTCATATTTATGCAGAAATATAGAAAATTCTAAAGGGTTCACAAACTTTCAAGCATAAGAACAAGCTGCAGCTGATAGATCAAGATTTCAGATCCATAATCACGAGGGATTGAGAAAAATAAATAAACCTTTAGCCTGTGTGAAATAAATGAACACGTTTGTGCAGTTTTTTTTATCTGTTATTGTGTATTTATGGGACACTAGCACTTTAGATGGCCTCACTATGGGAATGTTGAGAGGGATGAAATTCTGTCAATCAGCGTCTACAACTGCAGTAAGATGTTCAGCAACAGGTCAGAACATGTATCAGCCCTCATACTAAAAGTATTCATTATATGTTATAAGACGAGGGAAATTAACTAATTGATTCTTAACATAATATTCAAAAGCAATTCAGTACATTGACTAAGAGCGCTGTATGTGTGTGCACAGATTGCTGGGGAGGCTGGTGATCAGCCTGCAGCATGTGGTGTCTGTGGGTCAGCTGCTGCTCCGTGAGCCCCTCACAGACAGTCAGCACAGTCTCACTGATGTGAGTGAATGAAGAGCTGCTCTCAGCTCCAACACATTTGTTTTACATCCATTAAACAAATACTGTTGATGCTATTCTAACATCGGTGTGGTGAAGGACTTTTGAATCATTAGTTGTTGTTCTGGTGTTAGGTGTGATTGAAGCTCTTTTGTGTTGGTATGTGATGATGGAGTTTATTGTAGATCTACATAGAGCTGGAGGTGAAGTACAACCCTCTTCAGGGGGCTGCAGGCGGATGGGACAGTGACGACTTCATCAGAGGACAGGACACTGATGGGTGAGTCACTTCTTTATGTTCATCCCATCCATCCATCATTCCTTCCTTCTGTCTGTCCTTCTTTCCATCCATTTTCCCTTCTTTAATTATTTCCACATCTTCCATCCATTCCAAATTTTACATTCTTTCTTTTCCCATCCATCTATCCATTCTTCCTTCCTTCCATTTTTCTTTCTTCTTTTCTTCTATTCATCTTCCATCCATTCTTATTTCATACCTCCCTTCCTCTATCTTCTTTCAACTTCATTCTTCTTCTTTTTTCCATCCATTCTTCTTTCCTTCTTTCCATTCTTCCTTCTATTTGTCCTTCCTGCCTTTATTTCCTTCCTACTGTTCTTTCTTCCTTCCATCCAGCAATTCATTCATTCATTCTTCCTTTCTTCTTCCATCCATTTTCCCTTCCTTTATTACTTCCACTGCTTTCTTACATCCATTCTAACTTTTTCTTTCCT